ACTTTGAAATTGCAGCAGCAGGAGCATCAACAGGAACTGCATTGCTATGTCCTTGCAATCAGACCCACTTCGGCCCCTGGACACATCAACTAATTTGCAACGACAATGGGAGCAATTTGCATGGCTCGTTGTGACCCGGCAAATGGCAATTTAATAAGCCCCACACCCGGCCAAAAGGCCAAAGGATGCACAGGATAAAGGGATGCTCGCTCACGGACACTAACCAAGTTACCCTCATAATATGTAATAATGACGAAGACGAGAGCAAGAAGCGGGAACAGGACTCGTACTGGTACTGGGAACCTCTTCTTCCTAGGATCTTTGCAATGCAGGCCAGACCATGCCAGACAGGACCAAAAGGACCATTTGATTTCCGCTTAAAGCGGAAGTCTCATTTGAGCCAGGGAATGGGTAGTATAGCGGCGTTTGCATGTGTAATTTGCACAAATTGTTACAACGAGCCCGAAGCCAAGGCAAATAAGGCCAGTTGATTGTATTTAAAGTTTCTTTTCTTTTTTGAGCGAGATAAATGGCAAGAGAGAGCCAAGAAGGGAGAGAGCGGGTAAACAGGACGAAACGAGGCAAGTTACGAACTTCTGTTTACTGGGAGATGAAATTTATAGGTAAGATGGGGTATCTCTGAATTTCTGCAAGTTTTAACCTATATTTTTCTATAAGTATTTCCATAAGAATTAAAATATCCTTTAAGGTATCTAAGTATCTCTATAAAATAGCAATAATATCTAAGTATCTCTATGAGTATTAAAATATTTATAACAAAAATAAATTAATAAATCCTTTTACGTATCTAAGTATCTCTTAAAGTCTCCAAGTATCTATTTAAGAATTTCGATAAGTATAAAAGTATTATTAAACCATTTCACTTTAAGGTATCTAAGTATCTTTACAAGTATAAAGCATCTTAGTATCTTCCCGAGTATTAAAATAATAATTGAAATAAATAAACTAATAAATCCTTTAAAGTATCTAAGTATCTCTTTAAATATCTAAGTATCTCTATGAGTATTTCTATAAGTATTAAAATATCTCTTTAGGTATCTAAGTACCTTTATAAAAAAGCAATGATATCTAGGTATCTTTCTCAGTTCTTGTATTAGTATTAAGATATTTAAAAGGACTTTCCCTGTAATGTATCTAAGTATCTTTATAGGTATTCAAGTATCTTGGTATCTTCATGAGTATTAAAATATTAAAAAAAAATAAATAAATAATCTAATAAATCCTCTAAAGTATCTAAGTATCTCTATAAGTATCTATGTATCTCTATATATATAATTTTAGTATCTAAGTATCTTTATAACATATTATCAACTTTATATATATTTATATATAACTCCTAAGAATTAAAACTGGCCAAGATTGAGCTTCAAGTAATAATGTCTTCGATCTACCGCTTCTTATAGTCACTTCTCTTAACCAAAATCCACTGAGTGTGTTGGCCCAGAAAGTCCCATTCTCGTAGACTTGATAATGTTTACTTTAGCCGTTTCTTTTGCGCAGTGACTTGAATTTTCCCCAAGTCTTTAGACTCCACACCAAACCCATGCCCAATCCCATACCCAATCCCAACCCCTCGGCGTAATTTCGTTTTCGTTTTGCAGGCGCATATCCGGCCAACTTTTGCTGGCGAGGAGTGGGGGATTAGGAGACGCCGCGTGCCAAAGTCAACGCCGGCAACCGGATATCCGCAACGAGGAGTGGGAGTGGGGCCCCTGGCTGAGCAGCCGGGAGGAGCAACAACTGAACAGTAAACATAAATAAAGTGCGGCCGCAGCGAGAGCGAGAATACTATATTATATATAGAGAAGGACCAGAGCGGGTTCGAAACAAAGGCAAAAGGAGCGGGGACGCTGGGACTCAAGCGGCAGGAAGCAGGACCGAAAGGCGTGTTCTTTGCATACACAAACGACTTAAGCTAGTTCCTTTTGGAAATCCCTCGACTGGTAACTTCACTAAAAATTCTGGAACTCCCAAGAACCTGACCTACCAAAAAAAAACAACAAGATTCGATATAAAATTACTCCTAATCCATGAATGTTTATCCTTGGGAAAGCAAGGACATCTGGTAATCCATGTGGCAAAAGTAGATTAAGAATGTTTATTAGTTTTATTTCGAGACTTGAATAGTAAATAAAAAGAAAATAAATAAAATAAAATAGTAATAAATAAGAAAATATTTATTTAAGAACACATTTTAAACTACACATTTTTTTTTAATATTTTCTTTAAATGTTTGATTTAACTTTAAAGGTAAATATATAGAAAATTGTGTTTACTGGCGAACTTTCTTGCTTTTAAATTGTAGTTTAAAAAGAAAATAAATAAAATAAAATAGTAATAAATAAGAAAATATTGATTCTGGGTATAAAGAACACATTTTAAAATGACTTAAGTACACTATAATAAGGAAAAATGTTTAAAGAAACAATTAAAAATCCAACTATTTGAATTTTGAATATATATTCAGGTTATCTAAGGTACTATATCCAGCTTAGTAAGCAGCTTTAAAATATTTTTGTATTCTTTTTCAAGTAGTTTCTTGAAATGTTTAATTAAACTTTAAGACAAAGTTTGATTCTTCCAAAAGAATATATTTATTTAATAATTTCAGCTTCAGCTTCACCAACACCGACAAGACGTAGAGATAGCAGATCCCCGATATCCTTCTATCGATCTCTCTCGCTTATTATCGATATACATATGTGTATACTTGTTCGTAATGGACTGCTTCCACTAATGCTACATGGTGTGTTACTACCATGTTATGTGTTACTACTATGTTACTACATTATTTTTATTTATTCATTTATTTATATTTATTTATATATATGTATCTACCCTTATTTTCAAACATAAACACATCGTTTAGGTATTTTATAATAGCATTATACAATTATTTAACTATTATAGCAAAAGTCCACTAGGCTACACCAATTACTTGGGCCTTTTTAAACTCCCAGAATTAGAGGCGGCCCAGTGGAGAAGCCATGTCCCCACTTGACGGAGGTAAAGGGATTGCTGTATTTTTCCATACTGATTTGTTTGGGGACAACTTAAAAAATCAATTTGCCGCCGCACAAAGGGAAGCCCGCTGCCCAGGTAGCCGCCGCCGCCGAGGGGCTAGCAAACAACCAGGAGGAGTCCAGGAGCCAGGAGTCCTAGGGAGCCCAGGGAGTCCGAGGCATGCGTAGAAATATGGAAAATTTCAATTTGTTTTTTGTGTGGGAAAAAGTTTCTGACACTTTTCCAGGCCAAAAGCAAAAACAAACAGAAACGAAATGAAAACTTTTTCGTAGTGGCCAGTTATGAAATCGCTTATTACCCGAACCTGGTTCCAGTTTCCAAAATCGGGGCAAGAGCTCCTCCTCGAAGGGATCTGAACCCATCTGAACCTGGCTCTGGGTATATGTATGTATATTTGACTTTACGGTTTCCAGAAACTATGTGGAAAGTTTCGCTTATTAAACGTGGAAAAGGTGAGCAAGCAGGCTTGGCAAATTGTGAATTGGCCATCAGGAGTCCTCATAGAATTGTTTATACACAAGACAAGGACCTACTCCCTTCATATTCGTGTCCTACACCGACTTGTACTCCTCCGATTCACTCCACCTCCTATAACCATGTGTGTCGTCGTAATAGAATGCTAAAATATTCATAAATTGCCGCAAACACTGGGCAGAGAGGACGTAGCGGGACACACCCCCTTGAGATAATAAGCCCCATTGCCGGAGCGAGTTGAGTTGCCTTGGAGAGCAGCCATCAAATTATACGCAAATATTGAATTAATGAAATTATTGACAGGCGACTGGGCAGGAGTGGGTGCACATAGGAGAGCCAAGAGCTCGACTCTCTAGAGGATTACTCGCCGTGTGCTCCACTTGTTGCCCCCATTGGGTGAGAAGTTGGGGGGTATGACAGGTTTCTGTGGTCAGTGAATTGCCAAATAAATTATACAAAATTGCCGGCAAAGGTTCAATCAACTCCCTGTTTGCCGTGTGCATGGATTCTTGGCCACATAAAAAAATATATATATGTACATATAAACAATTCAAGAAAATGGCATCATTTGTGGGAATTACAAGTGTAACAATCCGATAAATATCTTTGTTAAGTTTTCTGTTACTAAATATTAAGAGTAATTTCTGGTTACTTATAAAATTTAGATTAAATAATAAATAAATAATATGTAAACTCCCAGGTTCTTTATTATTAATATTTCTAACGGAGGGCTTTTATTTAACACAATTTATTTTTCTGCGATCCAAAACACATTGTTCTTCCATTTTACCAACCTCAACCTGATTCCCAGTTCAATTCCATTTAAAAATCGCTCAAAACCGAAACTATAAGTCCTGATTCCTGCCTAGGTGCTGCTACCTCCATTGGTGTTTTCCCCACTGGCATTCCTTTTCACTTTTGGCAAATTCCCCCAACAGAAGCACAAAATATGCAGGCTCCTGTGGCACACTCACACTCACACACTTGCAAGTGATGATTTGACACAATGCCAGCCCAAGGGGGGTTGGGTGGCCGAGGGAGTGTATCAAAAAGTTGCAACACTTTATGGCCCATAAATATTTATGTCTCTTGTTGCCTGTTGTTGTGGGCGCACTTTGAGGTGGCTTTCCAAAAGGGAAGAGCTGGAGGGGCGAGTGTCGACGGAGGCCAAAGTCGATGTATCCAAATATTTTGGCAACGAAATGCAGGCGACACACACAGAGAGCAGACCCCGTTGACAGGACATTTTAACGAGCTTGGAATTGGGTCCACTTTGAGGATAACAGGAGGAGGAGTGTTATGAGAAACCCTGGGAAAATCAGTAGATACCGTTGACTCTGTTCTCGCTGCTTTTCCGGTCTAGTGCCTGCCCTTTGATCCGCCGCCGACGGTTGCCAGGACGCCCACGGATTTTTAATAAAGCAACACAAGCCAACACCTTTGAGGAAATAACAGTGCAGAGTAACAAGTAGGAAACTCACCCCCAGCTCCACGTAAATGGTGTAGATGGGATAGGGCAGGGCAATCACCATGCCGGTGAGCCAGGTGGCACAGCAGCACACAAAGCCAGGCAGGCGTCCCTTCAAAGGATCGTTGAGCCAGCGCATACGGTCCCAGGCGATCAGGATGTGTGAGATCATGGCCACGTGGAGGGGAATGTCCTGGGGAAGAATATCATAAAAATACAAAGAGTTAGTTGGGATTCAAAGGGAATTTGGACAAAACCTAAGCCTAAGGAGTGGTCTTAAGGCAACTTGTCAGATTTGTGGCAGCTTGAGCTTCACCTTCGCCTCCGCATCCTGTTTCTTATCCTGTTCCTGTCTGTGCCTCCCCATCAATCATTCCATTAAACACACACGTGAATGTGCCCCGTGATAAATGTCTGTGTGTGTGTCTTTTTTTGGAGCTTTAGCTATTTGTCGCCCCCTTTTGTGATAGCAATCAAATCGAATCATATCCCGTTCCGTAACCCATATCCTTCGAAATAGAATCTCCTGCAGCGTCAAGGTTGTAAATGTAATCATTTGTCTGCTGTACGGACGGCGAGCCTAATCGAATTGCCAGTCGGTTGTCTGGAGGAGAGAGGAGTCTTCCATCTCCTTGCTCCCTGATCCCTGCCAGGACATGGCCACATTTCCCCTGGTCGCATTTGTTTTCGCCACACAAAGGCATCAAATCGAATGAAAGTATATGATTCCATTTGCTTGTGATTTTTGACTCCGGCTCCCACACCTCCTCCTGCTTGTGCTTCTACTCCCGCTCCTCCTAGAATGTGTCAATCACGGTGGCCTTCATAATGAGGTGAGGCAGCAGGCAGGAGGCATCCCCCCTCGACCACAATTGTGTGAAAGGACACCAGCAGGCGCTGCTCAATTGAGCGCGACCGGATGCCATCTCCGGCACACAGCCAAATGGGATAAATATAGCCCAGAGCTGTAGTTAACAGTGATTGCTAAAGAATATATAAAGGATATATATATATATATATACCTACCAAAAATCAAGTCTAAGAACCCAATTCCCACTCACCTGCAACATGGGCAGAAAGAAGCACAAAAACTGGCCAAAGATCCAGTTCTGGATGAGCATCACCATCAGGGAGACGGGCAGGACGAGGGCACACTGTACAAAGTGGCATAACGCCAGATTGATGATGAACGCATGGGTCACATCCTTGTACAGGCGATGGTACATAATGTACACCACAATGGCCACGTTGAGGACCACACCCAGCAGAGCCAAGGCCGCATATTGGATGAGAAATAGCCAGTAGACCGACTTGATGCTGGACTTGAGGATCGGCCCACTGAGACGCTCCATATCCGAGGTCTCGTTGACATGCCAGTCGAGGAACTGGGAAATGGCCACCACATATTTGTCGGGCATCTCTTTCAGTTTATCGCCACCAGAGCCCGTCACGCCGCCACCATCGGCCACAGAGCCACCGACGGCTACGCTAGCACCACCACTTGTGCTGGCCGCCAGTTGGTAGGCCACTGGTACTCCACCAGCTGTCACTCCACCTCCGACCAGGGGAAGCTGCTCAGCGGGGGACATCCTTAGCACCTGGAAAGAGAGAAGAGAGAGAGGGAAAGGGGATTTAATTGATGGCACATACAAGGATATTTTCTGGGAAAACATGTACAAATTACAAAGCAGGTCCTGGCACCTACAATTGATGTCCTTGCATACCCAGCTACATATGCAAAGTGTTGCCAGACGCCTGCGGTTCCAGCAAGATTGAGGGCCAAGTTTTGTCAAGTTATGCCAGGCACATTGTCGGTTGCAAGGATACAAAAAAAAATAGATATATATACAAGAGAGGTAGATGTTTGTCCTTCAAGGAGTTAGAAGAGCCTAGAGTTTTGACTTTTTGTCTTAAAATAAAAGTCAGGCTGGTCTTTGGGTATGATCTGTTTAAGAACTAGGACTTGCTAAATATTAAGCTGATCCTGGCATCCTTGACACTTTTGTCGCCTGGCCATTCCCTCACTCAATTCATTCATTCATTCAGTCACCGTTTCATTGTGCACCATTTGCCCATTGTTTTGTTCCTTGTTGCTGCTCCTGCTCTTGGCCCTCCTCCTACGGTTGTTGTAGTTACGTTTAGTTTGCCACTCATTTGTTTTGTGTTTTGTTTTCCCTTTGTTTCGGCATTTGCAGCGGAAATTGCCGAAAGGAAAGGAAAAGCGAGCCAGGGCGAAGTGCTGCAGGCGAGCATCAGAGACAGACAACACGATATGGAAATTGAAAATCTGTATGCAACGTCCGTTGTACGTCCTGCGGTATGGAGCTTAACATTGCCACATGTCCCTACAGGTGGAGAAAAAACAAAACACCAGGTACACAAAGGTACATACATACATATATCTAAATATATGAATATATATCTAGCTCCCCTTTTCTTCAACTTGATTTTTGTTTTAAAAATCTTCCCATTTGATCAAACAGGCTGGTCCACAAGGACATAATCGATCCTAACAATAAAAAAAAATAAAAGGAAAAGGGAGAAAATAAACAGAAACGTCTAGATCTTTAGGCTGGAGACAAACAATTTAAACAAACATAAATTCCATGAATTAAATTCAAGCTTTCCTTATTTTTTTAAATATATTATATATAAACCTAAACATTATATATATTATATATATATTCTTTATTACAATATCCTTTGATTTTTCCTGCAGTGAGTTGCAGGCATTGCACGCCCTTCCTTGGCTCAGGTCTGGAATTTCAATCTAGACAGGCAGACAGACAGTCGCTGAGGGAAAGGACGAAGCACAGGACAGGGACACACACACACACACACACAAGAAGAGCACGTAGCTGTGTGTTTGTGTGCTGACCGTAGCAGCCGCAGACAAACATGCCACGCCCACAGCCCACAGCCCACCGCCCATTGCTTTGTCGTGTTTTTTGTTTGGGGGAATTCCCTTCGTCGCCACGGCGCTCGCTCTTTCAATTTGAGCAGCAACTTCCGTTCAATTTATTGTTGCTAATTTTTCTTCACTTGACTCAAAAAAAAAATAAGAGAAAAAAAAGAAGAAGAAAAAACAGGGTGCCCCAGGCGGTTGTCAAAAAACCGCCAATATTAAATTGCCTTGAATAAAATGATGATTGAAGCTATAATCGCGGTAAAGTACAAAAAAAATGTAAAAATACAGCCTTGGGCATTTCCCGCTTGTTTTTCATTTGCAGGGAAAATGTAATTTCCCTAGAAAAAATATTTATAAAGGGAAAATAGCATAAAAAGATACAAAATAAATAAATGAATTCGGAAATGAAGGAAATACAGGAATTAAGTTTCACGGAATATATCAGAAAAATAAAGCAAAAATTGGAAAACTTATGAATGAAAAATTATATTATGATATTATGATATTATGATATTATGATATTATGATATTATGATATTATGATATTATGATATTATGATATTATGATATTATGATATTATGATATTATGATATTATGATATTATGATATTATGATATTATGATATTATGATATTATGATATTATGATATTATGATGTTATGATATTATGATATTATGATATTATGATATTATGATATTATGATATTATGATGTTATGATATTATGATATTATGATATTATGATATTATGATATTATGATATTATGATATTATGATATTATGAAATTATGATATTATGATATTATGATATTATGATATTATGATATTATGATATTGTGATATTATGATATTATGATATTATGATATTATGATATTATGATATTATGATATTATGATATTATGATATTATGATATTATGATATTATGATATTATGATATTATGATATTATGATATTATGATATTATGATATTATGATATTATGATATTATGATATTATGATATTATGATATTATGATATTATGATATTATGATATTATGATATTATGATATTATGATATTATGATATTATGATATTATGATATTATGATATTATGATATTATGATATTATGATATTATGATATTATGATATTATGATATTATGATATTATGATATTATGATATTATGATATTATGATATTATGATATTATGATATTATGATATTATGATATTATGATATTATGATATTATGATATTATGATATTATGATATTATGATATTATGATATTATGATATTATGATATTATGATATTATGATATTATGATATTATGATATTATGATATTATGATATTATGATATTATGATATTATGATATTATGATATTATGATATTATGATATTATGATATTATGATATTATGATATTATGATATTATGATATTATGATATTATGATATTATGATATTATGATATTATGATATTATGATATTATGATATTATGATATTATGATATTATGATATTATGATATTATGATATTATGATATTATGATATTATGATATTATGATATTATGATATTATGATATTATGATATTATGATATTATGAAAAACCCTGTTCCGCCAATGCAGCTACAATCCCAGCTCGGTTTGATGACCCATGCAAGCCGACAACAGGAACAACAGGAACAGCAGTAACTGTTGTTGGCGCTCTTAATTTTGTTTGAACATTTGCCATTTGGCAGATTCCCCTGCCCTTATCTTCCCCCGATCCGACATTATAGCTATAGTTTCTTGGCCCCGGACAGTTTTATCTATCCTCGGTCGTCGCTCACATGTGCGGCCCAGTTCGGTGGTGCTACTCCTCCTGTTACTCCTCCTGCGCCTGTTACTACTCCTCCTGCTCCTGTTGCTCCTGCTTCTCCTCCTGCTTTTATTCCTCCTCCCTCTCCTGACTGGCAGAAGCCATGTCTGGCCGTGTCGAGTCTATTATGGCCCCGATGATTCATGCGGACGGGCTAGCTCCCCGGGGAATGCCAATTGCAGGGTTGCATTTTCATGGCGGCACTGCTGCAGTGTGCTGCAATCCACCAAGCAGCTGGGAGAGTAGGAGCCAAAGGTTCATGGATAATGGATAAATGGATAAGTCCCAAAGCACTTGTTGAGCGCCCCATAGACCCAGATACATTTTGAAAATGCTTACTAAACCTATGGATCGATCCATAAATGTACTTAGTTTTTACGCTACAGATTTAAGTTAATTTATTATTTATTTATTTTAGAATTCCGTATAAAAACCCTTCTTTTCTGGCAGTGTTTTCATTGGGGCTTAGCAGTATCCATTTGTCAATTAGCCGCTTTGCCGCATGCCAAGTTATAATTTCATTTTGCGCGACTTTTACTAGATCGCTTTGCCCACTTGATGTAGCTGTGCGGGTGCGTGTGTGTGTGTTCTTCCTCCTTCCTGCTTCGTCCTTAGTCCCTGGCCATAACCATTACCGCCCTCGGAGGATGGCATCCCCTGTGCGTTAATTAGCTTAAAATGTTGATTGACAGCGCGCTGCGGCTTGTGGCTGTGGCTTTGGCTTCGGCGTTGGTTCTGGATTCAGATTTGGATTCGGATTCGTCTGTTTGCTCCCACGATGCCGCTGCTCTCCTCCTCCTCTGGCTCTGTGGCTGTAAGCCAGCCCAGGAAACAGAGACACCAACAGCCAGATGTTGGTGGGTATTAAGACCCTTAGGACTGCGGAGCAGAGTTCGTCGAGTAACTTTTGATTTCTCGTTGCTGAAGCGTAGAAGTCAATAATAGTGAAAAGTTTGTTGCAGCAGCAGCAGAGGATGCACTGCATCAATCACATTCCGCCTGAGTTCAGTTGGTCATTAAGCGCCAAAGTTGCCATCACCTCAAAAAAAGTTCATAAGTGTCTGGGAATCAGTGGGGGAAACAGAAGTGAACTCAAGGCATGTACATCATTACTCCACTCAAGTGGATTAATTTTGTGCTCGATTTCAGCTGACTTGCTTTTAAGTTCTATCATTTCCAGCCTGAGATTTAGACATTTTAACTCTTTAATTAGTCTGGTAATATCTAGGGGTACTGCTTAAAAGCTACTGTGCTTAAGGGGGGTTTAAGTATCAGTTATATATAAGTTTTGAGGTTTTAAAATTTAATAACAAATTATTCTTAATTGGCGAGGAATATTTCTAAAAACAAAAACGAAAAGGTACCATTTAAATGACTAAGATGCGCAACACACAAACGACAAAATGTATTCTCTTTAGTCAAAAAATGTAAAAATATATATACATTTCTTTTTTTTAGTTTGACTCTGTTTAATACAATAATAATATATAATAAGAAAAAGATTTAATGAATTTAAGTCAACGCAACATATAATCAACACAGGCTACCACATAAATACAAATTTTTATACCCTTGCAGGGTATTATAATTTCAGTCAAAAGTTTGCAACGCAGTGAAGGAGACGTTTCCGACCTATATAAAGTATAAAGCCGGATCGGACGACTATATCATATAGCTGCCATACAAATGTTCGATAAATTTTTAGAAAAAAATTATAACTTGGCTGTTTTTCAAAAATTTTTGCATCATTTTTAGGATATGGCCATTTTATATTATTCCAGAATTTTGGTAAAAATTTTATGAAAATCGGACAACTATATATACATCTGCCATATAAACGATCGGTAAATGT